CGACACTTAGACCGTTGGGAACGATGACTTCCATTGTGCGACGCACGAGGAGCGCTCGTGAATAGGTTTATAGTGAGGCGGATCTGCGTAGCATTCGCCGCACTTTCTTATCCCTCACCTACCTGTTTCCGATTACAAGGCAGTGTCACTACGACCGGTGTGCACTTGCTGATAGGACTCAGTAGTCCGTTTACGCGTGCCACACACAGCCTGGCTCCCACTGCACATACCGGGCTTTCTGCGAGGTCGACCCTAATGTCACATCGGTTAGATTGTGAGAGGGGCCATTGCAGCCAGACTCCCAGGCCTCCAGTCATTCCGGAATACTCGCCGTGGAGACTGAGTTATCCCGTTAATTGGTAACCCCCCAAAGGCGTCGTGTTAGGTTCAAGCGATTCATATTTACTATAGTTAGGAATGCGCCGATGTGCGATGGGGATGGATGTCCCACTGTCGGCCTCCCTCCACTCCGCCTCTGATGCACCAGTCCCCAGCCCGAGCCTGTGAACCAATGGGCCAAACTACCTATAGCATTGATTTGGGGTCAATCAACCTAGTACCCCATGTCCAGAGTGTGCGCTGGGATCTCGGAGGGGCCGGCAGCTTACCCTCTCTCCTCGTTTGCTCTATGCGTAAAGAAGGGGGCGTTTCTTAAGCATACACTGCTTTAGAGGACGATTGTGGGAATAGCACGGAGACTTGTCGAATGCGGCGTCACATGCTGGTCCGTCTGATAAGCACCCTTCTCCCTCGGAACCCTACCGAGCGGGCCAAGTGACGTGGCGCTCGGGCGGGAGTTAAGAAGTCAGCTGTTCAACTTCGTCTGAGCTTGACTTTACTGCCTATTTCGGATCTGTGGAGCAACCTGCCACTCAGGCAGAAATAAACCCCATTAGTCAGAATTTTGATTTATTTTCTGTTGTTACCTGGCCTGACTTCTGTGCCTTATTAGAGGGCGTTGAAAACTGTTTACTGAACACGGCAACAACGCTGGCACGTGTTCCCTATTTATGATACTTTTTCTCCCTGTAGCCGGAACTCAAAGAGAACAAACCGCTGCAGTACAATCTGCTTCGTCTTTGTGACAGCCTTCTCGCGCGCCTCAAGTGTCAGGTAACTGGGACGTATGCCGAGCGGGAGGTTGCTGGTGGAGAGACCGCTGGCATTGAAGATCGCAATTCAGTAGACGCCAACACTCGCCAACTCCTGGCCTGGTGGGCTGAGACAGTGGGTATCATCCTGGACAACCTGACTGTACGCGTCCCTCTGTTACTATTATTATTGCATCCTTGTTTACTGTTTTCGTATCAGGTCATACGCTCCCTCATGTTGCTGCATTTATTCCGGCCGGCGACTGTTGGGTTGCCGCTGTCTGCCCTCTGTCCCCTAACCAGACCAAGCCCTGATTACTGATTCACCGTCAATGCTAAGAGTCCGGCTGCTGTTGTCGTTCTTGTTGGACAGGATAGCATACATAATTGTTGATATCGGTTCCCTAAGTAGGCGTCGATCAGGTTCCCAGGGGAGTTGAGCCAGTCAGCGAGGCGATTGAAGCGGAGGAGGGGGGCGGCGTGCATAAACTCCCTCCCCGCTCACGTCAACCGCCTCGTTGTAGCCCGCCATGGAGGCACAGACGTCGCAGGAATGAGCGAGCCCGCGCGTGGGCGGAGTTCCCTTTGCTGATTGCTTGACTGACGTGGTTGCACATGGGGGGTGAGGGATGATGAAGCTGAGTCTCGCTGGGTGTCACGGATTACCGTGTGCCATACGGTTGAATAACATTGCCAGGGTTAGGTTACTGGCTTTTTTGGAGCTGGCGGAGGAGGCGTTGAGAATATCTCACGCATACTCTCATCGGTCTCCTTCAATTTCGCCAAGAGACTCAGGCCTCCTCTC